ATATAACAAATTCTATCAATTTTTATTGTTTAGACACCAATTAAACGTTAACACTAAACATTTTTCATCCAAAATCATTGTTCTTCCGACGTTTGATTTCTTTTTAATTATAGTAAACGCGTTTTTCTAAGGTACATAAACTTTTGAGATTGACTGTATAGCAAATACTTCCTTAATATAATGTCTGTTAATAGACAGAGATCTTACGGATCTTGTATTCCTAGAGGAACTTCCCCTATAAATAATAAAACAGCAAGGACATGTTATAAAAAATATGATTTGGGAAGTATGACTAAGAACCAAACATTTTGAACCCGAACGTAATGAGTACACCCTACGTCGTTTTCACTCTCCACTCGTGGGCGAATATTGTTGGAAAACAATACGCGGCCTGGTAAACAGCGCGAGTAATGTAGTTATATACGTTTAATCGGTGACTCCGTTTCGTCGATTCGTGCGAACGTACATACATACAATAGCGACGCGTGTGTTCCTTCGCGTCAACGCGGATTGCACCCATTATCACGTGCTCCTTGTTCGCCCGCTTCCGTTGTTCCCGTTTTATTCCCCGGAACAACGCGAAGGGTCAGTCGGCATTGTTCTGCGTAACGCGACAGGGTCGCGTTCAATCTTTTTATGATGAAAACGCGGTACATATTCAGACTCTCACCCTCGTGGGTGAAACGAATCTAAAGAGTACGTTCAAGTCGTTTGTTCGACCTGATGTCTGCTAACACGCGACAAAAACACGAATCAAAAGAGTGTACGAGGACCATCTCATTCCCTGTGCGTCGAGCTAATAATTATAAAATAAGGCTGTACCGACTAGTTTTTACTGACTGCTCCTACGCGAGGGTTCGTAGCTGTTTCCATATGTACATTCGAATGTCAATTTCCTTGACGGATCTCGATGTGTTCATTAAACGGTTCAGCCTTTAGTTTCGAGGTGTGTCACGGTCGAGCACGCCGGAAACGTCATATTAAATGGGACTCGGAGGAAATGAAACATGAGATATGTTCTTTTGATTTAATTGTTACGCGCATCGCAACTGACATGAGCTGAATCTGCACGTATACATATATGTATATTCCCGAATAAAAGTATTAAGTCGCCTCGAATCATTTCATACAAAATGTAACTTTTGACTTGTATTAAATATCTTCATTATGAGAAGACTATGGAAAATAAGAGTCTTATGTAAAATAAAATAGTTATGGTACCAGTTATGAATAATAGTTTTTTTTATCATTTATATATTCCTTTATCATATATCGCAATATGCAGCATGATTTTAATATTTCCTGTATTTATGTATATTATTTGTGTATATTATGTGCACTATTCATATTTTTTGCATATTCAACTTATTATATGCATTAAATTCGCAGTCTGTTTATGAGCACCGAACTGCCTTCATACTACCTCATCTTAAGCAGTATTAGAGGGTTTAAAACGTATCGAAAGAACAAATCCAACAATTACAATAATACTCTGATTCTAAGAATGTACTCACTGTTTTAGAATTTACTAAATCTAGAAACCTTATTGTCAGAAAAGTACAATGAAATTTTTGAAACTGCACTTGAAATCCTTTTGGGATAGATTAGGTTAGGTTAGGGATCCCTTCCCATACACATAGGCATTTGAGGTAATGATAATGTTGATAAAGCTGCCAAAGAAGCTATATTTTAAATATTCCTCGTTTTTACAAAGTTTTCCAGTCTTACAAAATTCGAATCAAAGAACTAGAGAATATCACCCGCAAAATTAGCCAAAAGAAGTGAAAATTTTGACAAAGGATGATAGTCTGCTTGAATGGCTGATAATAACTTGTCTTTATTATTAAGACTCGTAATTACATTCACTTACTAACTGAATCTCTTTGCCTTCAAGATCATTCGAAGGTCATGGTATCTCTCCGAGACTCACAGACGCTGAATCATTTCAGCATTGGGATTTTGATATTCAAATATTATTTAAATCAAGAAAATTGTGGAAAGTTGTCAATGGAGAAGAACTTTTAGGAGAGGTTGCTGCCGATGCAGAAAAGAAAGACGACTGGTTAACAAAGGATGCCAAAGCTCAGTATTACATTGCAAGGACCATTGATAAGATGGTGAAAAATCACATTTTAACCTGTACAACCGCCAAAGAAATGTATGACAC